TCTCTTACCAACAAATGCCCCACCTGTTGTCACAGGGGTGCAAGGGGAGAAAAAAGAAATGTTGGTAGAGGAGAAGGTGCTTCTAGGATAACAAATGTAGAAGCAAAAGTTTTGGTAAAGTGTTTACAACTCATATTCCTACATCAAAACCGATAATCTCGAAGGCTGATCCAGTGATAGCAACTGTCACAACTACAAGTCCAATTGCTAAAGGTATTGTAATTGGGTCAACAGGTGAATGGAGTCTTTTGAAACCTGAACAAACTACAACAAGTCAAGGGAGAGGAAAAGGGATTGTTGTAGAGAAATTAAAGGAAGAAAGAAAAGTTGGGATAGATGCAGAAATAGAGAAACAACGTCAGATTCAAAGTATTTTGAGGCTTCGACAAAATGATCCTCCTACTTTGGACAAAGGAGATCCAAGGAAACTGCATAGTTAAGAAAATATCGAAGCTAGAGTTGCTTACAATGAGATGTATGAGTTTGAGAAGAAGCCAAGAAAAAGTTATGCTATCGAGAACTCTGACATGAATCAACTTGATTTTCCTGTCAATGAAATGATATTTCTCACTGCTCAGTACAAGATTGTTGATCAATTCAAGGATAAAGATGACTTTATTCATATGAAGCTGAGATTTCATGCTGTGTTGGGAAAAGATCAGGAAGAGGTATGGTCACTCGTGAAGATTGTTCGAGTGATAAGTATAACAAAGGATGTGTTGTTCGAGAATATGCTGCAAAATTTTCGATACCATATTGTGAGGGAAAACAATGTTGCTCTTGACTTCTCGATTGCTGATTTTCCTCTGATGAACTTGAAAGATGTGATTCAAGTTGCGAACATACTCAAAGACATGGATGCTTCGAAAATTCAGGGAACAAGTAAAGAAGTACTACGTCTGGGGTTAGGCCATATCAAGCTTTTCATAGACAATTATTATGATTGTCTAGCATTGACTGATGTTGAGTTAGCATTGTCAATGGGAAAAGAAATCACAGTTCTTCAATCAGCGTTGAAGAGTCAAGCTGATTTAAAGATGTATGTTGATGGTGAGATATGTCTGAAGCCATTTGGAGTTGTTTTCGTTGGAAAGAGCAAGAAGGGAAAACAAACGAAGTTCTTATTTCAGTCAAGTGACGTTGAAAGATACACAACTACTCATTACACAAACTTAATTGTGCTTATGAACAGTTGTAAGAAGAACAATGAAGCGGATAAAGCTGAACTGAAGAAGGTCATGAACTGGTATGCAGATATTCGAAGGACATTACATATGGCTGCTCAAGTTTTGATAACTTGATTTCGACACTGCTTACAAAGGGGGAGATTGTAAGAGTCGAAGTTAATTGTAAGGCGTTGAAAGTTTTTGAATGTTCGTGATGAAATGTAATGTTATTTACAAAGGCATTGTTGTTTTCGAAATTGTATTGTTTAGTCCTTTCTATTTTTTGTGTGCTTTCATTTTCCTATAAATAGGGAAGGATACTTAGACTAGATAAAACTTTTGCCACATTTCTGTCTGAATCTCATTGTATCTGAAAGCATAATATGAGCTGAAACAAGATTATATTTACTCTCTGTGTTCTTACTTCATATCAATTTTGATCTCGTTTCTTTACTCGATAAATCAAACCACTACATTTTTCATACATGAGTTATGAATGGAATCAAGTGGTATTGGATTTTCATTTTTTAAATATACCGCTTGTTCGTGCGTACATGGTAGCCTGTGACTAGTACGCATTTGACATCCACAAATTTCAAGGAATTTGATTTGTTCAAATTCCTTGAAAATTATTTCAAGTGCATAAATTGAAACATTACCAACCAAATATCTGAAATATGGATGGACGAAACAATGCCGTGCAATAATCATGCTCAGTCCTAAACTTGCTTTGATAGCATAGTCTTGTGACTGAACAACATCATGAATTCTTGGTAATACTGTCGCTAATCTGATTGTGATGATCCAAGTATATTTACTTTGGCATGCTGAATCTCCACTCTATTGGTTGTGTAATTCCCAAAATGGAGAAATTCGTCAGTCCAAACAGATATAAACTTTTCTTTATATTGTGTCAACCACGTTTTCTTCAAGTAAGTAATAACTTCTAAAACATAATACACTTACATCAATTTTGAAAATATATATATATATATATTATATATATATATATATATATAGATATATATATATATATATATATAATCTAACAAATCTAAAAGATATGTTAAGGAAATACCTTTATAGTCCACCAGAATGTTTTCGACTTATAAGAGATTGGAATTGCATGCTTCCTCAGTTTCAGATTCAACAAATTTTTTCCAACCTTTATAAAAGGAGGCCCAACAACGATGATGCACTAAAAACGTTTTGTATTTTCTCTTAATGCTTGTATTGATATGCCATCTACAAAGTAATCCTTTAGCTTCTAGAAATACATTATTGCATGCGTTCATGCAAGCCATGTCTCTATCTGTGATAATTACACGTGGAAACATGCATCTATCTATTGTTGATTTTTAAACATTCTTGTGCCCAAGTGTAGTTGGATTTTGTTTCCTTATGCATGTAGACAAATGCTACGCAAAAATTCTGATTAGTTGGAGTTACACCAACTATTTCAAGGAGGGGAATCTCGTACCTGTTTGTTTTGTATGTCGCATCCATCAACGTGACATGTGGGAATGCACGCCACATCTCCAATGATCTTTGGTGAGCAAAAAATACATCTTGAAGGTCATTGGTTGACTTATCGGCACGACTGCAGTAGATATTGCCATTCTCAGCCATGAAAGACATAACAACTTGCATTTGAGTTTTGCCACTATTCTCCTTCATCCTGAATTTTTGGCGTGCATTATATCTAGTTGGAAGAATGGCTAAATTTTCTACATTTTCCTTCTTTAATGTAGATAATATATCTTTTGGTTTCACATTTTTTCTTATCAAATCTTCCACTAATCGGGTTTCATCATCAGAAAGACGCCTTGGATATAGGTGACCTTCTAAATATAAGGCGGGCTCGTGATTATGTATTTCACATGTGGCTTTTAATGACCAACAATTATCTTTTGATGAATACTTGCCTTTTAGTGCAAATGGAAAGTTTATTTTTTTGGTACCGGTATTTTTTGTGGATGTTTTTTTTACTTTTGTATGTACCGCTGCGATCAAATTGAAAAAAAAATATTTAAGTTAGTAGTGGATCTTTTTATTACAATAATGTAACCAAGTCCACGCCCCGTATTTTTCACCCAGTCTATTAGTTGTAGACCAGAATTAAATACCTAAAAGTGTAAATATAGTTATATTATTTTGATTTGATCGTATTGGTATTCATTTACACCGCACTGAAATAAAGATATGATATTTATGTAAATGTAGGGTAATTTAAAGGACCATAAATGTAAATATAGTTATATTATTTTGATTTGATTGTAGTAAATTAAAGATAGAGTATTTATAGTAAATACAACCATAAATGTAAATATTATTTAGATTTGATGGTAGTGGTATTCATTTACACCGCATTAAAATAAAGATAGGGTATTTATTGTAAATACGGAGTAAGTTAAAGGACCATAACTGTAAATATAGTTATATTATTTTGATTTGATCGTAGTGGTATTCGTTTATACCGCACTGAAATAAAGATATGATATTTATTGTAAATGCAGGGTAAGTTAAATGACCATAAATTTAAATATAATTATATTATTTTGATTTGATTCTAGTTGTATTCATTTACACCACACTAAAATAAAGATATGATATTTATTGTAAATTAAAAGACCATAAATGTAAATATAATTATGTTATTTTTATTTGATGGTAGTGGTATTCATTTACACCGGACTAAAATAAAGATATGGTATTTATTGTAAAGAAATTAAAGGACTATAAATGTAAATATAATTATATTATTTTGATTTGTTCGGTATTCATTTACACCGCATTGAAATAAAGATATGGTATTTATTGTAAATGCAGGGTAAGTTAAAGGACCATAAATATAAATATAGTTATTACTTTTGCCTAATACGAAAAATATCATATTTCTTTTGTTTATATTCAAAATGAGAAAAACATTAAATAAATATCCATATATATTATATATATATATATATATATATATATATATATAGCTATAATATATATATATATATATATATAAGAATCATGTTTAAAATAAAAAAATTTACTATTAAAGAAAAAAAGAAAAATATAAAAGAAAAACGTAAACCAAAATAGTTTTTATTAGACAAAATTGCAAGAATGGTCCCTGTGGTATGTTGAAAATTGTCACTTTAGGCCAAACAAGTTTGGACTAGCACCAATGGTCCAAAGGTTTCCATTTTATTGCAACTTTGATCCATTTTGGTTTAATTTTTTATAAAATGACAATTATACCCTTTGTATTTTCTTTTTTTCAATTTTTTTATTACAAAAATAAAAGAAAAAGAAAAAGAAAATATTTTCTCTCTCTCTCTCTCTCTCTCTCTCTCTCCACCGATTCTCCATCCTTTTCCTCTGTTCAACTCTCAGCCAACCCTAGCCTCTTTGATCCTCATGTTCATTTTTTATATAGTGGAACAACCTCCTTCACTACCAACAAATCATTTGGGTTCACGAACATCAAATCTCATACACCTCTCATCGCCGCTGGAAAGCCCTATCACCCTCCACAAACCACCGCCGCCACTCACTAATCCCTTAATCAGTCACTCCATCACCAACGCCAACCTCAGCTGTCTTAATCCCACTCTGAGAACCACCGACGAAACCGAATTTACGCAAAAGGGGTCAAAAGGGGTCGTCGTTTAATCAACCCCAAAAACACACACATGTTTTTGATTTCCGATTAGTCCTACACAAACACACATCTGTTTTTAATCCCGTTTTTCTCTCACCCTCGATTATCATCCCAAACCCTAGTAGCGACGGCGGCTCTGTAACTTGAATAGAGAAGGAGAATCGATGCTCGTTCCAAGACCTTCAGTGGGAGCAGGTGATAACGCCATTCACTGGTGTAGGTGACAGAGCATTTTGCTTCCTTGCCTTAGTCTTCTTCTTGCTAGGCTCTGTAATAGGTTCTATTACATGTTTCAAGATTGATTTTGATTTTAGGTCACAGGTAACCGGTGGTGTTTTCCTTTTTTGTATCTTAACAAATCGAATTCAAAAGTGGTTTGTACATGGGTGGGGAACTATTGGTAGATGAAGGTGAAAGAATGGGGTGATGTCTCTAATCGTAGGTGCAATAATGGTTTTAATCTGACGCGATGTAGAGGGAGTTCGATCTAATGATGTGCATATGTGTTGTGGATACAAAGGGATGGGAGGTGGTAGATTGGTGACTGATTGCAGCGGAAGGCAGGGATAGGGTTCGATCTAGGAGGTGTATGTATGTGAGAGAGAGAGAGAATATGAGAGAGAGAGAATATTTTCTTTTTCTTTTTCTTTTATTTTTGTAATAAAAAAATTAAAAAAAGAAAATACAAAGGGTATAATTGTCATTTTATAAAAAATTAAACCAAAATGGATCAAAGTTGCAACAAAATGGAAACCTTTGGACCATTGGTGCTAGTCTAAACTTGTTTGACCCAAAGTGGCAATTTTCGACATACCACATGGACCATTCTTGCAATTTTGTCTTTTTATTATAGTAAAATACAATTTAATATATAGAATATGTCATTTCAAATTGGGTTTTAAGAAAAGTGGTTTTGATTTTTTTTTTGGGTGCGAATAACAATAGTTAAATCGGGTCAAACCTAATCTGTAAAATGGTCAAACCGGGTCACATAGTAATTACGTCCGTTGTAATTCCTTCGGTAAGTTACATCTGTCGATAAATTTCCGACAAAGTATTCTGTCAATAATCCATAACAAATAATTCCCCAAGAGCTTTTTTCGACTGAATTAACTCCGGCAGAAATCCGTGTTCCGGCAGAAAACGCGGTCGGAAAAAGCTACTTTTTCTAGCAATAGTGATATAGCCAGGGACGGACGCAGGAATACATGGTAGGTGTTGCCGGGATGAATAGGTGTTACAGATACATAAAAAATATGTAGAAAAAACTGAAAAATCGAAAAAAATTTCACTGCGGCCAGAAAAGTTAGGGGTTGCCGGTGCCACACCGGGAACCCCTTAGAACCATCCTTGGATATAGCATGAAAATGATTTATTGGTGCATCGTCAACATATAGACTCGGGACACCTTGCATATAATTTCGGAGGAAACTATGATTATAGCACCGGAATATGTGAAAACATGCTTTCAAGTCAGATTTAAATCATTTTATATGCATAGCGAACGTTGTTGAATTTTTTTTTGTAAAACTAGGTTGGTTTTCAAAAGCTATTGTAGAAATATGTTAGTTTTAGAATGTATCGTGGAAATAGGTTGGTTTGAATAAGGCCCACCATTCCAATCTATTCTTACGGAAAAATAAATGTATATTTTCATTTTTAACCCTTCAACTTTAATCTTTTTTTTTTATTTATATTTTTTACAATTGAACAATCCATTTTTTACCCTTGTTAAAATATTATACACTAGGTGTGAGACCCGTGTATTACACGAGTTTTTATTAAAAAATTAATATAAATTGTCAAGAATTACATGTTTTTTTGTAATAATTTTACATAACTACAAAATCCTATAATGAATAAAGTTACTATTTCAATATATCGACCCTAATAAAATGATACATATTTGTAAAATGATGACGACAATAATGATGTAAACATTAAACACAAATTAATTAAAATTTGCTATATATAAAAAAACAAAATGATGAATAAGTAAGTAAAGTTAATGTATAATAATAAAAACAACTATTAAAATATTGACACCTATTTTTATGAATTACAAATTTCCAAAGACTTCCTTAAATACAACATTAGATGTCGTGTTGGTAAGTTTACCATCTTTATCTAAAATTAATATCTTTAATCCAGCTTTACTTTTAACTCTCGACAATGCAACATACAACTGTCCATGAGTGAATACTGGTTGTCTCAAAAACAACCCCACCCTCGATAGTGACTGTCCTTGACTTTTATTTATTGTCATTGCAAAACATACAGCCAGTGGAAATTGTCGTCTTTGAAATATGAAAGGAATCCTTTTATCCGAAGGCGTCAAAGACACTCTTGGAATAAACGTACGGTTTCCGATATTACTTCCAGATATTATTTCAGCTTCTATAACACGTTTACCCAATGCAATAACCCGTAACCTCGTGCCATTGCACAATCCGCATTTCTGATCAATATTCCTTAGTAACATAACCGGAACACCGACTTTTAAAACCAACTTGTGAATTGGCATACCTGAAGGTCTAAGACCATTTAGAACATCAGGAGAGTATAAAGTTTCATCAACTTCATCATGAACAAAATCAGCATGAGAAAGAGTATCTGAACTTAAATACTCTTGTGGATCTCCTGGAAATAATTTTAACAAACGCTCGTTAATCTCTTCAACGACTTCATTCTTCGGTGCGAGGATTGCTCTTTCTTGAAAATAAATCGGATTGTTGGCATTTTCAACAATAGAAGGATAGACAAATCCAATTAAAGAACCAATAGGATCAACTGAATCAACAATGAGAAGATCTGTGGGAACATCAATAATTGCCTCGCCATCATTCAAACCACCAACTTTTCCTTCTCCTATATCCAAAATCCATTTTGCAAAAGATTCAGTTTCTTGAATATCAGATGTGAGAACACTTAACCTCATGTTTTTTGTTAATGTTAAGACTTTGCAACTTGACCAAATATAAGAGGAACTTAAAGAAGCGTTCACAATGTCTTGCCTGCTTCCATTAGGAACAACTGGTAGAATTTGTCTAAAATCGCCTCCAAAGACAATTGTTTTTCCTCCAAATGGCAATTTTGAGTTTCCACGAAAATCACAACTCAATATATCTTTCAAAGAACGATCCAAGGCTTCAAATGCATGCTTATGAATCATAGGTGCCTCATCCCATATAATCAAAGATGTTTTTTTTAACAATTCGGCTACATCACTATCCGGTGCAAAAGAACAAAAGGAATCCTCAGTTAGATTTAGAGGAATTATAAAGCGTGAGTGTGCTGTTCTACCTCCGGTTAGTAACAATGAAGCAATACCACTTGAAGCAACATTTAAAACGATATCACCTTTAGATCTTATAGATGCAGATAAAGTCTTCCAAAGAAAAGTTTTACCGGTACCTCCATAGCCATAAACAAAAAACACACCTCCTTTTTTCTGTTTAACAGCTGTCATGATTTCATCAAAAACTGATCGTTGTTCAATTGTTAATGAATCAAGTAGTTGATGAGATTCTTGTTGTAGACTGTTCATATCAAAATCTAACTCCTCAGTAATCAAACGGTTGTTTGAAGAAGATATCGAATCATGATCAGGGTAAGGCATCCCAACAAAATCTTTAAGGCTTGAATTGTTTTGGAGTAGAATTTTTTCAATCTCATATAGCGTCAAGTTTTTAAGTTGATCGTCATTAAGGGATAAACCTATACAATTGCAGAGTTAATTATTAAAAGATAAATACAGACAATTATCACGTAATAAAAATAATGTGTATAAAAAAACTTTTAAATATTTATAAGAAACATATAAATTTCAAATAATAGTATATTTAGCATTTAAAAATTATATAAGTAATGTACAAAATGTAATGAATGACAAAAATAATAATACCTGGAGACTTTAATCTTATTCGTTGATTGTAGAGAATTCCATCGGATAAGTATTGACAAGTATTTTCCCAAACATAACACGGTTTAGACAAACTATTAGACTTTAACATAGTTGCAAATAGAAACCGTAAATAATAACCAGATCCTGAATGACTTGCTTCCTCGATGGCATCAATATATTCTCTATCATCTTCTAAAAGTCCAAGAGCATAACATGCATCCCTAAAAGTAGGACATACTTGTCCGTTAACTGTACGAATATCTGGAAATGATTTTGGACCTTTGACTTTATTTAAAAGAATTCTCAAAAAATATGCTTCACCGAGATTAGGTGAAACTGTGTGAATCCTCCCAATAGAAAACCCTTTCTTTCTTGGCTCCCAACAACGATCTTCTTGTTTCCATACAAATTTTGTAGGAAACTCAACATAAGAAAGTTTTCGTGCATCCTCATTATGTTCATTACAGCTCATCCAAGATAAGAACATCGAAGAAGAAACAGATTGTTTGTTGAGGACATCTTCAATATCATCATCTGCTCCGTATACAACATTTTGTTTTCCAGGAAGATGGAACGGAAGCCTTACAACTGAAGGATATCTGTAATGAACATCAAATCCATATATACGCCACGAAGCTTCACACGCAGACAAATACCTACAATCATAGTAGTTCTTTATTTCATCAACCGGAGCATCATCATTATCACCTCCGTTGTTGTTTTGTGCAACTTCAACAGTAGCCCGATCAGGACCCTTGTTAATATATTTAAACAAATATTTGATGGAAGCCGCTTGATTGCACCACTCAACATTAATATGAGCTTGATATCGTTTCAAAAGGGTTTTGTGATATGGAACAACACTTCTGTTGTCTAACTTAACACCTGACTTTTCTATAAAAGATCCATCATTACGTCTCCTATACATAGGATAACCATTTGAATCAACGGAAGTATTCTCCAAGAATGGCTTCGGGAAGTTTTTCGAACACTTGTTTTCACTCATGCATGGGCATTTTGGATTATCAGAACCACATGGACCATGCATCATGAACTCACTGACAAGTGAGTACAATTCTGGATCATCATCTTTGTTTGGAATTTCTGCCGAAATAACTCGATCAATATGTTCAACAGTAGGGAGTTTGTAATCAGGGTGCATGAATAAACATATATGTGCGTGAGGCAGACCGCGCTTTTGAAACTCCACCGTATAAACAACTGTATATTTAAATAAATATAATATTATAAGATAATAAAAAACATAAAAAAACATTTTAATAACACTATTATTGTAATATATGGTACCTGCTTTGACCAAACCCAATAACCTCTTCTTCTTTAAGTCTTTAATCAAAGAATCCAACTTAATTTTGAATAATCTAGAAAGGATATCAGGCCTATCTTCGGGATTAAGTGTGGTGTCAGCTAGAAACCTTTTAATTTCAGGCCATTTTGGATTGCATGTTACGGTTATGAAAAAATCTGGGTATCCAAAAAACTTACAAAGCGACATGGCATCTAAATAGTTTTGCATCATGTAGCGTGCACCACCCGTAAAAGAAGAAGGCAAGATAACACGTTTTCCAACATTGGAAATATCAGTATTACCATGACTTTGTACACTTTTTAAAGTTTCATAAGATTCGCATCTAAGAACTTTTTGCTGGTTGCGTATGTAATATAGTCTCTCAGTTTCAATCATCGTATAAGCATCAACCAGAAATTGTTGAAAAAGCCTTCTTGAATTAAGAATTAATGAAAAAACATTAACTCTGTCTTGAATTCTATAAGCAAAGAATTCTCTCATTGTACAGAAACGACGTTTGGTATTAGTTGAAGGATCAACATCCCTGTGAGGTATATCAACTCTATATCCATCATCTCCATATGGAAAGAGTAGTGGGTACTGAAGACCAAGGTAAGCCGGATGTAATTCGTTTATACGTTGTAGACTTCCTGATTTAGTTGTTACGATGATATCTCTATTATCAATTGCATCGCCAATGTCACCAACAATTAAAGCAGCAACCTCAGAAGCAGTAGGTAAGTTATATGTCCTTCCATCTTGTTGCCTTCTTCCTATAAGACGTAACTTTAGATCTATATGAGGATTTTCATCAAAACAGTCTCTGGCCATTCTATAACACTTAACCAACTCATTGGTCGAATCCAACATGTCCTTCAAAAATCTAATGATTTCAATATCAAGAGAATGAGAAGTTGATGTGCAACCTTCGTTCTGTGTACTGTTAACAACAACGGTTATATGTAAAATTTAGCAAGTAAATAATTATATCAAAATTATAAAAGTAATGGTTTATAAAAAAATTAATAAAGTTATACCTGAAAGCGCGTTGTCTATTTGTTATTTCATTTTCAGTATCATATATGTATAGTTGTGAAAACTTTGGTTTGGATCCGTCTATAGGTAAAAGACTTCCCATACAATGGTAATTTTGACCGCTAAGTCTGAAAACATATGGAGCATTGCCCCTATTAATGGAAGAATCAACTTTTCCACCCATTGAAGTAAAGGAAAACATCGAATTGAATCGACGAATATTCTTCATGAAATTTTTTCCTTTTGGATCAACATTACGAAAGAGATTTTGATAATTTGTTGGAGCTTGTTTTAATTGAGGAAGCTCGACTTTTCCGTTACCACAACACATGGAATAAGAAGTTTTCTTTCCGGAAGTATTGCCTTTAAGAGCTTCATATGTCCATAATTGTGCATGACACATCGTACACACAAATGTCTGGTCACCATGGTCCAAGTAATCTGTTTAATAAAAACATTTGTAAAACTTTGAAATAATTTAATGTTGCAACAAGTAATAATTTAAATATAAAAGGGGATTATAAATAAAAATTAATATTTTCCTTTTGCAATACCTGATATTAACTGTTGACGGATTTGTTGATCACGTAAATCTTCATCTGATGTTAGGTCCAAAATGGGTATCTGAGATATATTTGGAATCTTTCTTTTTCTATTTAGTTTTCTGCATGATAAATTGCTGGAAGAAGCTTGAGTGACTGAAGATGAATTCGTAGCTCTCATGTCACCGGACAAGGTAGAATATTGTGCATTTACTAACAATAAAAGTATGACAATTAGTATTAAACTTATAAAGTAAATATATAAAAAATAAAAATAATAAAAAAATGAATACATATTATTTTATGTGTACCATATATAGTAACAAACAGTAAGTTGAATATAAACGTAGTCGTACCATTCGAAATGTTGGACAACGGAGTTCTTGTAAAAAAATCAGAAGCATATTGAAAATGTTGTTGATCACGACCAACATTACCTATCAATAAAAGATAAGTTCATATAAATATGTATTAATTAGGGAACAATTAAGAAACATGTAAAATAACATAGTATCTTATTACACTATTTAGAATAAGTTTATATGGATACAATTAAATTAGTAAGATGCATGATATATATCATATACCGATTGGTACGGTGGACATGTGATTGGATCTTCTTGTATCCAAATAAATTTTCCTTTCTTTTCGTTTATCTTTAGCCTTGTTCGACAATGGACTGTCGATATAAATATTCGAAATAGACTGAACCCGTGTTTGCTGATATCCACATGACAAAGTTGGGCTGACATTTTCATTGTTACCAACAATATTGACAAACTTGGTTGATGAAGGTGTTTGAATGTTGGTAGTTATATTAGAAAGCACTGTAAAATAATATAAAATATGTAAGTTATAATGCAGATACAAATAAGTGTAAGTTACATATAATAAGAAAAATAATTTTTTTTAATGATATAATTAGAAATGATATATATATATATATATATATATATATATATATATATATATATATATATATAAGCGATTTATAAAATAATAATGTTTAATTAATTGCAATGTAGCAAAGAGTGTAGGTAATACATAATAATATTTAAGATCCAGAGGATTGTGTGAGATTAAAAATATAGTATAAAATAAAAATTAGTCTATCCGATAAAAAACGATATACCATTAGATGATGTGGACATATGATTAGATCTTTTCTTATCCAAATATAATTTTCTAAGTTTTCTGTTCTCTCTAGCAGCATCAGACAATGCATTTCTAATATTAAAAGTTGAAGTAGATTGGAAACTTGTATGTTGATATGCGGATGATATATTTGGATTCAAATTTTCATTGTCATCGCGAATATGTGTACAATTGTTTGAAGATGATAAATGTTGCCGAGAATAACCTACATTGAATATATAATAATAAGAATGGCTAATTAGAAAATGCAATGATTATATGAGATAAAACGTCAGAAGATATAAAACAATATTTGTTCAACAGCCGTTACATATAAAACATTACTGAATATGAAAGTAAATTGAGATGTAGATAAAGAATTACCAAATGACAAGTTGGACATAACATTGGATCTTCGTTGATCCAAATATAATTTTCTATATCTGCGCCTTTGTTTATGTTCGTTTGAATCCATATCGTGTTTGTAGCTTAAGAACAAAAAAATTATGTAATAAAAAGTATATTGACAATAATTTCATTAAAATTTAAAATTGAAAATTATAATAAACGGAGACATTAATACGATTAATATATAGTAGTTAAAATTTGGTAATATTTAAGAATTGTATACTTTACATTAATAAAAATCAAGACTTCCAACAAAGAAGTGTATATTAACATAACAACTAAAATAAGATTTTTATCAAAAAACTTAATTTTAAAAGATTTAGGAAAATATAGATAAGCATATATATTAATACTTGCATCAAAAAAATTTATATTCATTTTGATATAACAAATAAAGGAAGGATTTCATAAATAATAAAAATAAGAAAAGAGAAGGAAAACCCGTTTTTTAGATGAGGCCGTCAAATGTGTTGCCAGAATGTCGATTTTTGACCTGGTTTAATATAAGATTCAGCACAAGAGATTAAGAGATTAATAAGACAAAGATACGAAAGATTCATTGAAAATGACAAAAATACCCTTATGTAAAATGGATATACGTTCATTAAAAAAGTTAAGCAAGATTCTTTTGTCTTCTTACATGCTATGCTTAATGAAACCACTGAAGTTGTCAAGTATATTTATATGTATTTTTTTTTAATTGGAAGTAGATTGAATCTATGCAAAAACACATTTAGGTCAATATGGACCAAATGTGCAAAATAGTGAACATTTTATTGTAAAAATGACGCTTTTGACCCTTGGTCATACATCAATCATAAATAGTTTGGGACAACAAAAAGTATTAGTATTTTTCAATTTAATTAATGAACATCAAAACAATAAAAAGTCACAATAATAGTGATAATAGATCATTCCATTATTTTTCCTGTTTCCATTCCATCACACAAACCAAATATAACCACTTTCAAATAAGTAGGAAAACACATAAAACAACACAGTTGAAAAGAAACATGCATAACAGTTAATTATTTTTTTAATTAGATTGCTGTAAATGGTTTCAAGTTTGAATCCCAATGTTGAAAGCAAGGACTTAGGATGGAAAACAGGGTATAGTAGTTCATTATCAAAGAATGGTCAGTTGTAATGTTCTGCAATTCATCATCAAGTTGGACACACAGGAACATAAAAACTGTTAAGCATGTACACACACATACACATTGATAAACATAAACTGATGTTAAAAAAACAACGCACACATTAAAAAAACACAAAAAGAAACAAAAGATAAACAAAAAAATTTGAAAGTAGTTTTTTATAAACTTACAGAAATGATTGAACTCTGTGATTGTGATTGAAAACACGATTTTCCACTGTGATGATGCAAAAATTTGGAACACGATGTTGTAATAAACTCAATATTTCAAGAGACAGTGATAACAGATGAATTAGAATGAGTTATACATAATAAGTAATTTATAAAAATTATTTTTGGAAAGGATATCAAAGTTTGGTTTGAAATTATAGAGTATTCCAAAATTTTAGCTGTCATGAATCAATCTTTGAAACGTTTCCCAAGTTAGCGTGATATTGAAAGGGATTGACCAAATTTGTTCATGATTATAATTGCTCTATGTCATTCTAATAGTAATTCCTGCATATTAGGCACTAACTTCTTACATTATAAAATCAATTTAAAAAAAAACGTAAATGAGGATTCCATAAATTAAGCTACTATATAAAGATAGAAAAATTAAAATTCATGAAAACAAATATCTTCCTTTTTTAAAATAAACATCTGTTGCATCATATCACAATTAAAAGTTTTGGAAAATTGTAATATACGACTATACTATTGTTATTTATAAAATTATTATTTTATCACTTATAGTGGCCATAGTGGTGACTATATTTTTGTTATTTATAACATTATACAACATTTCTACTTTTGATATTTTAAGTTGTCAAACCGTGTAAAACACGAGCTTTAGGCTAGTATTTGATATAAATAACAAAATTGACTATGCAAATTATGAGATTTAAAATGTAGCATAAAATTACTTATACATCAAGTCAAATTATGTATAAGAATCATGGACTGTAAAAGAAAGTTGTGAAGATTTAAATATATATCCAATAATAAGAGTAAAAAATTCTTTGTATTTGGATGACCGGTTAAATTTTGTTGTAGGATGTGAAAGAGACTACTAATAAAAATGCCTTTATTAACCGAAATATAAAAGACGATTATGAAGAAAATATGAATGTAATGTCCAAATATAAAGTGCAATATAATGATCCCATAAAGAGTCAAATCCAAGTTGCTTATAATAAAAGAAAAAGTAAAACCTAACACGAATGAATATTCATAGTGTACCAAACACTAAATATTAAAATCCCAAATAAAATGCAAGTAAAAGTGCCAAATATTAAAAAAATGTCTAAGAAAATAGCATAGAGTAGCAAAGAAAGATCGAAGTTATTGTCTTCATAAACATGATCACTTTTCAACTTTAGGAATCAACAATTTTGTTGTTCCACCAACTTTGCCATCTCCAATACGGGGTGCATTAGGTTTCGTTGCTGATTCATAAACGTCATCATCAAGATCGTAAACATCTACAAGTTTACGTTTGGCACTTGTAGGCGGTGAATTGAGGTTGTTGACTGTTCTTGATGATATGCCAGAGGGAATATTCGACACAGGAGTATTATCAGCAGTGTGGGAAGTATCATCCTTAAATAAAAAAAGAAATAATGTTGTTTAGTAATATAAAGGATAACATATATAAGAGTAAATGATGTAGTAATGTAGTTTACCTTACAACCCACTGTTTCTTGAGATGCAAATTCTGAGCCAATTATATTAACAGATTCAGTATCCATGTCCTATAAAATTAATGATAAAATAAAACAGTATGTTGGGTTAAGGAATCTAGGAAATAGTATTTTCAAAATATGTATGTTTTAAATTAATTAAATTGGTGTATAGTTACCTGTTCAATCCTACTCTTTTTCTCAATTTTCTCCAAAGCAGAAATAATGTCAACATTATCCGTTATTTTGGAAATGTTGTAAGAACGACCAAATCTTGAAACATTAAATGTCTTGACAACAATCTTGAAAGCCAATTTTTTGTCGATCATGGCATTCAACTCAATAGGAAACTGACTTGTATTGCCAAACTACAAAAATATATTAATAAATAATAACAATTAAATCAATGTGTGAAAATTAAGTTGTATTTAGCAAGATGGTATTGCATATAAGAAACATATACCCTTTCATATTTTGATAATAAATCAGCAGCAGATAATTTCAGAATATTTCTGACTTCACGATCAAAGATCGTAAGACTCACAACACCAACTAAACCTTGAACTCGAACTTTGATCATAAAACTAAAAAAACACATAAAAATTTTAAAAGTTTAAATTAAATATAATAATATTGAAGAATAATATACTAAGTTAATATTTATTACACACCTTGGTTCAGCAGTAATAAGTTTGTCCTTGCACTTTTCATTTGTACAAACCATAATCTCTTTCTCTTCTAACTGGTCCAAGCCATTGACCGTCTCATCTGAAACCTTAACTATTTGAACCTTTGACTTGCAATGTTTGCAAGCATTATAAT